AAATGGTGATCAACTTGCAGTTAGCAAAATTAGAAAATAATGATAGTTATTTTTATTATGCACACAAGTCTTGTATTAAAAGTAAAATAAAAAGAACTGAGATGAAGAAGATACAGAACAGAAAAAATCAAGAAGTGTTAATGAAAAATCGCATGCATGTTTGGCGAAATATTTATATTACCTGAAAAATTCAAGTACCTGAAAAATACAAGTAAAACTTCAACGTTTTGAGTGAAAGTCCTTCATCGGAAAGTTAGTAGCATGAAGTTATTGGCATTACACTAACTTCCTGATGAAGGTCCTGTTGCTCAAACCGTCCAAATCGAATCAATATCCATCTGCATTTAGATCAGAGCACATTTAATTTTTTCATATTTTTTACAATTGAATTGTAGAGAAAATTCAAAATGAGTGAATTATGTCTAACCATACATAATAAGTCCATTTATAAGTAATAATAGGAAGCAATATGATCATATTAATTATTAAATAAGTGAAAACCTTGATTAGAAACATATGAAAACTACCAAAAATCTATGATCGAAATTTTTAAAAAAGGAAAGTACTTGTAATAAACAAATGACACACAAGTCATTGCACTTGCATAAGACATTGTATGTTGTTTTATCAGATTTATGATTGAATTGTGCAGAAAATTCAAAATGACTATGGTAAAATACTTTGCCAAACTATCTTAGCTTCTTTCTTGAGATATTTAAGAATGTTCATTGCAAAATTTAAATTATAAATCTTATATGGACAACTGATTCGAATCTGTCAACATATAGTATATATTTGTAGCATGTTGACCGAACACATATGCACAGTTTTATGATGTTGATGCACAATATCCCAAGATCTTGCAGTTTTTTTTTCAGAAAGTTGTTATGCAATGCGATGTCATCGTGAGGATAATTATTTGCATATCACAATTGTTATTGAGAACAATTAAGCAAGAACGAATAAGCAAGAACAATTAAGCAAGCTTAAGCTGGTTTTACACTGTTAGCTTTAGCTTTTCTAATTTATTTAATTCCACCTGAAAAATCACAAGACAAAGAAAAATTTTGCCTAGTTGAAAACCGGCTTAAAATAGTTTGGGAAAGTGACTTATTCGGTCAATTTGAATTTTTTTTTACAACACAATCATAAAAAGTGGTTTGAAAAATCATAAAATTTAGTTTGAGAAATAAGAATATTTAGTGCACAAATATATATTGAGATGAGTTCTAGACAATATGGAAACTTCGACTTCTGATGGTTGAAATTTGTAGGTTCCTGTCAGGATGGTGTTTGTCTCGTTGACACCAGGTGGAGCTTAGTAGTTGGAATTAAAATTTGTGTATGAACGGGCATTTGATGCCGCATTATTAGATATGAATATATCATGACCTGCTCCAAATATTGGTCCATAATCACTTCCTGTGCGAATTGCGCTCTCAGTATTTTGATCTTTCAGTGGGCCTTTAAAAGGCGACAGATTTTCTTTGTTATGAAGAGAGAATATGGAGCTTGTTTGTAGACGCCACCTGTTATAATGTAAAAATAATGTTTTAACATATCTAATGAGATTTATATTGAGTATCACCACAGTAGTGTTGCAGTTGCAGACAAATTTGAAAAATTTCAAGTGTTCATGCATACTTGCATTTCAACCTGCCTCACATGTCAGGATTTGGCTGAGCTAGCCCTTGCTTTAAATTTCAAAGTAGCCGCAAATATCACATATGCTACATGTTCACAGCTGAGTGTATAACTCACAATGTCCGCACACAGTGTGATCCTTGCCTTATGTGGACCAAATAATAAAAAACGATATAATTTTTCCACATGGTCACGCATGTCAAATTCCGCAGCAGAAACGGTGTATTGCCATGCGTGGCAATTAGCTTAGCCAAAAGCTCTTGTGTGAGGCTTTATGTAGTATCTTTCATTTAAATAATTTGTCACAACCACTTATGAGTGTTGTGAAACGAGATCACTGATTACATTTCACGGAAAATACGTAAGGTCACGATTCACAAAGAAAAATGTTTGTTTCAACTTTTCACTGAAAAATATAGCCTCCTCTGCAGGCATCTCGCGGTTCACTTACTTTACAAAGTCTGTGAGATGCCTCCTCTTGCTTGCGCAGTGATTTTGTCACTGGGGTATGCATGTGGGGAGGATTTTGTGATAATTGTTAATGTTTGGCTGGCATAATTATTTAAAATAGTAAGATTTATTAGGTACAGTTTGTTATGTTATATTTAAATGAGACACAAAGTGATTTTTTCACATGATAGTAGTAATATTAATAGTACAATTAAGGCAGTTCATGGTTGTCAGAAGCAGGACAAAATTGTCCTACATAGATGTAAATTTTAATAACTGAGAAATGTAACAAGATAAAATATATTTCAGCATGATAATTGTGAACCCATTGTTAAATAGAAACCAAGGCAAGAGCCGGGTTTATTTGAGTGAAAAAAAGCCTTGGTCTGGTGTTTGGTTGTCAGTCTTCTTCCTCGCTTAAATCTCCCAATGCATACGAATTCTGTCCCCAGAGTATACTGTTGGGTGTTAGGATTTGCTCCTCTTCTTGTCTGCTTTCTATGTAGGTAAGTGGGTGATTTAAAAAAAAAAATGCCTCTCGATATCTAATATCACTGTCTCTAACTGATTGAAAAACAGGTGTGTTTTTCCCAAAGTTTTGTAAAGTGTTGTTTTGATTTCTCTAATTAGCCGTTCATATAGTCCTCCCCACCATGGGGACTTTACCAGATTAAAGGATCAGTGTATACTCTCAGTCGCTAAATAATTGTGCAGACGCTCACTTCTGATTTGTTTTATCCATTTCGACGTTGCTGCAAATGTAGTGGAATTGTCCAATAAAATACGATTTGGCCTCGTTTTCCTTGTAATAAACGTGTTCAACTTTTCTTGAAACTCTTCTTCTGCTATCTGCGATTTAGCTACCTCTAAATGAACTGCTTGTGATGTAGCACACATAAATATGATTACATAACATTTTCCTTCTTCGTGACCTTATACAGTAAAGGACCAGCAAAGTCCACTCCTGTGGTTTCAAATGGTCTCCCAGGCATTGTGCGGAATTCGGGCAATTGTGACGTCGCTTGAGCTGAAAAAGGCTTTGTCAAGAAAACTTTGCAAACATTACAGTTTCTGATTACTTTCTTAACCTTAGATCTCAGCTGTGGTATCCACCAGTCTTCTCAGATTAATGACATTGTGCTCGCTACTCCCAGATGCATGACTTTTTCATGTGAATGCTGTACAAGTTTCTCCACAAATCATCCTCCATTGAGATAAGTTGGTTGACAGCCGGAAATCCTTCCTTTGCACTTTAAAATATTGGTTTCCTCATCCTGCACAAATCTCCAACCGGGACTCTCACCATTCCTGGCATGTTGCTCTGGACTTTCTTCACCCAGTGATTTCTTGCATTTTCAATTTCTTCTGTTTGTAGTGGACCGTTCTTTCGTTTCTCGACTTTTGTTTTTTCGCTAAACAGTTGTGCTTAAATCTTAAGCACCAAGCTGTTACTCATAGTGTTTTCCAATATGAACTCCATTCCAATAACGAATCCCATTCATCAGGTTCCTTCTCTATCACTTGGAATACAGAAGGGTTTACTCTTTATGTTAACTTTTTTGCTGCAGTTGAGATTTGGTTGTACCGGTTGTTTCTCTTCATCTAGCAGCCAGTTTGGACCATGAAACCATTCATTACTTTCCATACGATTAATGCTTGCAACTCGACTTCCCAAATCTGCTATGCTATCTTTCCATGGGCAATATTTCCACTTGATATCGAGTTCACTTGTTATGGACGCTATTTTTCTCACTCAGTTCACTACAAACGTTTTCCATGACCCAGCTGGATTTAAGATCCGAAAGAGTGCCACTGTGCTATCCATCCATATGGTTATTGAGGCTATTGGTAGTTGTTTCAACGCTTTACATATGTTCATTGCTATATTCGCAGCCATTTGACCACCGATTGGCTCTAATCTCAGGATTGACATGTTTCTCTTTGAAATTCTCGCCTTGGCTGTCAACCCTTTCACCGAAAATGAACCTGTTTAATCTTTCAAATACCCTTGGTAATACTTCTGGGAATTTTAACTGTTTGTAACTGTCTTGTCCACCTTAACCAGCCTTGTTCTAAGGGCTTTAAAATCTCCGCGTCCCAACTCTGCCTCATTGCAGGCTTCACGATAAATTCTTTTACCCTCTGCCATTGTGGGTGATACTCTGCCTAAAGGGTCATAAACTTTTCCGAGGTGACTCACAACAGACTTCTTTGTAACTTTCGCCCCTTCAGGATATTCTGGTGTTGAAATGTGCAACTCATCTTCTTTCTTGTCCCATACAAGTCCAAGAATTTTTGAAGGATTTGGCATGTCTTCACTCCCCAACGACTCTACGTTGGATTCCCACTTGTGAAGTGGTAATTTGGCACCTTCTAATTCCGATACATCGCTTCCGATTTGCATTATATTGTCAACGTAGGTATTATCTTTCAAAGTCTGTACCGTGTCTTCCACTTCCTCAGGCTGTGCCAAGCATGAATGGACTTGATTCGACTCCAAAAGGAATTCTGGTGAACTGAAAATGTTTTTCAATACCATTGACAGTATATATAAACCTGAAAGCATTGCAGTCCTTCTTGTAACCCAATTTGTAGAAAAGCCTTTTGAATATCTGTGAGAATCAATTGTGGGGCAATTCTTGCATGTATCAAAATGTCCCAAAGCATTGGTTGCAGCGGGGGGCCCGTAAACATACATTCATTCACGCTGTTGGCATTAGAATTTGGTTTTGCACTGGCGTCATCCTTACTTTTGTGCTTGTTGCCTCCTCTCTGATGACAGGTTTGTGGCACATATAATATACTTGTTCACCATTTGGTTTCTCTGGTGCATCTTCAATGATACCCGACTCTAAATGCTTCTTGATAATTTCATCATAATCATTCTTTAACTTCTTATCTCGCTCGATCCTTTTGCATATGTTAGCTAATCGCTTTCGACTTGGATGTAAATTGTTATTTTGTAAAGACTGTCCTGGAATCCATGGCACCTTGACTTGATATCTACCGTCATCAGCCCGCATAATGTTTCTTTAAACTCATGATAAACATCCAGTTTGTCATTCTCCCCTCTATCTCCAAGTACATCCAGTGTATACAACTGCTCGTAGTCATTTGATTCTCATACACATATATTGTTCAAAACATCTCCGCCATAAACAATCCAACCAAATGAAGTACCTTCAACCATAGGATCGCCATCTTTCCCTTTGTAGATTTCTTCTGTCTTAATCTTGCAGGAGGTGTTGTCACCTAAGATCATGTGTATTGGGTATTCACTAGAGGTATGCAAATCTGATCCAAATCCGATATGATCGGATTTGTTTGGATTTCGGACCAAAATATTCATATCGGATTGATATTTGATAAAGTTATTTCGTAGTTGGATCGGATTTCGATATCCGAAATAAAATGAATTAATTATCCACATGTTATCACAAGAATTAATTATCCATGCATTTATCAAAGCATTATCGTGGTTGTCGCTACATTATTCGTTTGATACTTCAACTGGATGTCACTTTGTCAGCTTCTTGACATGTATTTGGTTAAATATGTCAACTTAATGAGAAATTTCTTTTATTAAAGAGTTCTTCGAATCGCATTCGAATTCTTTATCAAAACTCGGATCGATTTGACAATTTCGGTCGGATTTTAAACATTAGGCAATTGTCGGATTATAAACGTCCGATCCGATGCACACCTCTTGTATTCACCATCTGTTGTCATGTAAAACCTCTTGTCCTTTGTGTGTTCATAATTCCATTTAAGTTTGTTCACTGTTGTGAAATTTTTCATTGTCGACCCGGCTAGCTCTATATCTTCCTTGGTTGATCCATCTAATGAATTTGATTGTTACATTGTAAATAGGCATGGACTGTCTTTTTGTTCCATTAATGGTGATGATTTCCTTCGATTCATGCTGTGCTGCAGAAACTTTAAGCTTCTTTACTGCTTCCTTTGAAATAAAATTCCTGCCCGATTCTGTGTCCAAAAATGCCCAGAAAACTTCTCTGTCAACCTTAACTGGGATTATGGGGGGTAATGTAATCTCTTCTGTTGTTGTTGAATAGCCCGTTAGTACTGTACCATCACCTTTGTTCTCTTTCTGATCATGTAGACTGGTATGTTTCTCCTCACAGTGATAGCACCCACGACTCCGACATGTCCCGGGCTACCGCAATTGAAGCATAAATTGTTCTCACCGAAGTAAGCCTTTCTTTGAACTGTGGTTACATAAGACTTGCACATATCACTCCAGTGTTCAGCTTTACAGAACATACAACAAGGTGTCTTTTTCCTCTTTCGTTCTCTTTGGCTCCTTTATGTGCAAACAAGTTTTACTCTCTTCTTCTTGGGTCACCTGTGAATTTATCTTCTTCAGTTTTGTTTCTTTGTAACCATTTTTGCAGACTATCAACTAAGTTCTCCATTTTCCATTCCTCCCAGTCTTCATCAGTCCTTACCAAGTCTGACTTCACATTTGGCAACTTATTAATACTACACATCACAAATCCATCTAATTTCTCATGTTCACCGAGAGTCTGTAGGGCGTCATAGTTCTTGGTCAAATGTTTGTAGAAAGCCAAGATCTTTTCATAGGAGGACCCTCGTACTGTGGGTAAATTTACTACTTCATCAATATGTGCATTCACAACCAACTTTGTTTGACCATACTCCTTTTTTAGTCATTCCCAAGCTGTTTTATATCCAATCGAGCTGGGTTTGAGATCTTATCCCTGACTTTTCCACTCACCATTTCAAGTAAATAGCCAAACGTTTCCTCATCACTAATTGGCTTAGAATCGACTTGTGTAATAAACATGTTCTCAAATTTTACCCAGTCTGCTGTTGTTCCATTTAGGACATTTAGCTAGAGTTGATCTTGCAGCTTTTTCCATTTCTAGCTTTTTCTCCATCATTCTAAGCTCTGCTTGTAATTTTTCTTTGAGCATTTGCCTCTCTTGGTCTCGAATTACTTCCCTGTTATGCTCTTCTTCAATACATTTTGTGTCTCATCGCTTATTTTCCTCTTCTGCTGCAATATTTGCTTGTGTTTTAGCCAGAAAATCAGACAGTTTGTTAATTTCATTTACCCATGGCATATATCTCTTTCTTCCGTTGTCGAATTTCCCTGTGATGTACTTTTCCCCAGCTCAACTTTCATCTCTTGAGCAGTCGAAAACAAGGCTATATATTTGATCCAAAATCACCTTTGTATGCTTGTTTACTGTTTCGATTTCCCTCAGATCTTGCTCTTCGATAAGCTCGTCAGTTTGTTCCAAATAATACTTCAACTTTTCTATTTCCTTGTTGATTTTATTCTTAATTTGTTGCTCGCTCTCTTCCAAGTTGCTCATCATTTTAACTCTCGCTTATACTTTAATATAGTTGTAAATATAGTTGTAAATTTGTTGAAATTCCCTGTAAAATATCACTTGTTTCCTTTGTTTACATCCTGGCTGTGGCACCACTATATACCAAAGTTATCCTTGATATACAAATCCTCACTCGTTTTAATATTAAATATTTATTATATACGCAAACAATACGAAAAATACAAAATCTCTTTGTGTTTGAAAAGTCTATCTACAAAAAACCATCCACTAGGCTTGCTGTAATAATTTCTTTAAAATATTTTGGTTTAAGGAAAAGATGAAATTAAGGTTGCAACCCACCTACTACAGTTCATGTTCATCGAGTCAATTGGTTTTACAGCTCCAGTCTGTTACTATCCCATAGTTGAAGTTGATGATATTGCCCTCTACCACAAATTTTGGGACGTTGTATATGATCTTGGTGAATTTGGTTTTAAAGTTATTATGGGGATCTGTGGAGCTCAAGCAAATCACATGTTTATTCAGTTACATTTTTGTGACATGGTTGATCTGTTAAAACAGTTACATTTCACCACAACTAATATCTACACTGGAGAACCATTGATATTAATGGTAGATCCTTCAGTAATACCATATACGTTATATATTCATGCACTCTTATATTTTAATGATGCCACTTAATGTGCCCATTCCAAAGAAGGTTACTATATTCTGCAAGTGATTTATAGCACAATTTAAAAAAAACTTGAAGTATAGAACTAAATGAATTTGGGTTTTCCAAAAAGTTCCCTTTTAAGCATAGATACTTGGTCAATTACCAGAATCTGACAAGACTTCCACCTTTCTAGAGCAAGTGTATTATTCTCTTGATACTGGCAACGAGTTCGTGAGCAGATTTTATTCCTGTCCCAACAGCGGCAAAAGAGTCAATAGTTACTGCACCAATATTTGCTGCTGCAATTTCTGTCGAACCTGTTACAAACAATTCTTGACAACTTGCAGAAAGACCCTTCATAATATTTCTTAGCAAAAACGATGTTCCACATCCTCCCTTACCGGTGACAAAGACACTGAATATTTTATTTAATAAGAGACTTCCTTACTTTTTCCTGCTCGGGGCTCAAAGCCGCCATGTTTTTATAGCTTTAATATGTCAAATTATAACCTGAATATCAGGCTCTATTTTACAAATAGAGCCTGACACAAAACTTAACCTGATCGCTTTCCACCCACAGCAAAGTTTATATTTAGTATCCAATCAAAATGTCGCAGGAGAAATTTAAATTTCACACAACGACAACAACAATCTAATTATAGCATAGGCAGCCCACTAAACGGCTGAATTTAAATTAAAACTGCAATGAACTTATAAAATTAACAAAAATAATCACAAATTAGCGAAATATATTGCAAATGTAGCTTATATTAAATCGCCACCCAATTGCTCTCTCCTCCGCAGAGGTTTCAGTGACTACAATGAGCTTTACTTGGCGCTTACCGTATTTTAATATCAACAAACTGACATATAATTATAAAGTATATATATATTAAGTATACTTTATAACTATACGTCAGTTAGTCGATAGTGCAATCTGATGGCGATTTAATATAAGCTACATTTGCAATATATTTCGCTAATTTGCGATTATTTTCTAATTTTACTGCAGTTTTAATTTAAATTCAGCCGTTTAGTGGGCAGGCTATTTAAATAAAATATATCAACAACAATAGTATAATCTAATTAGCACCAGCCAATCAAATGACAGATTTAAAATATCATTTGTCTAATCGGCCAATTAGACGAAAAAGCCAGAATCTGGCTTTTTACATGCGCCGCGGTAAAGAATTGTATCAGTACGGTGGCCCACAAGTGCAAACACAACACAATATTCACTAAACACGACAATAAATTCATTGAAACACAATAACATGTTCGCTGAACAGAACAAACGATTTGCTAATCACAACAACAAATTTATCAAAACACAACACAATATTTGCATTGAAACACAACAACAAATTCGCCAAAACACAACAACAAATTCACTAAAACACAACAACAAATTCGCCAAAACACAACAATAAATTCACCAAAACACAACAATAAATTCACCAAAACACAACAATAAATTCACCAAAACACAACAATAAATTCACCAAAACACAACAATAAATTCACCAAAACACAAGAAAATAATACTCAATATAATAATTGCAACACAACAGTGAATCACTATGACTCATGGCATTAAAATATAATACAATGTAAATGGTCGCCAAACACAAATGTATTAAACCATTGCATATAATTATAGGCATGCATAGCGACAATTTATAATAATCATGACAAGTGGTGTGAAAAATTAGCAGTTTATCACTGGTGATTTGTCGTGCGAAGCAAGTTTTAATGGACAAAGACAAAATACAAGTAATTCCGTAAACCAAATGGATGGGCTTATAAAGTGCTTAAACTGTTCTCGTAAACTAGAGATAACTTTAATGATGTTTTGTCCTGAGTGTGGATCTGCTGTAAATAAGGAGGAACTTCTCATATGTTATTATTTTCACCGTGGATTTAGTTACTCGTCTATTATTTCTTTTCTGAATAAACGTCACGATATCGAGATTTCTCTGCGAACTCTTCAAAATAGGCTCTCAGAATATGGGTTGAAAAGACGGGGTACCGACACCCCTGATGCAGTGATTTATGAAGTTATCGAACGCGAATTAGATGGTCCAGGTTGTAGGCATTGTCTCCGTATTAAATATGGAATTCAAACTTCGAGAAATAATGTTGAAAGAATTCTGCGTGACATCGATCCAGAAGGAACTGCTTTACGAAGAGCGCATCGACTTAGGAGAAGATCTTACACCAATCCCGGGCCTAATTATGCGTGGCATGTAGACGGGTACGATAAACTGAAACCGTACGGTTTTCCCATCCACGGCTGCGTGGATGGCTTTAGTCGTCGTCTTTTGTGGTTAAAAGTTTGTCGAACGAACAACGACCCATCATACGTTGCATCTTTTTTTTACGAGTGCGTGCAGACAACTAACGGTTGCCCAAGACCGGTTGCCCAACTAACGGTTGCAAAACGGGGTCATGGCAGCGATGCAATGCTACTTTCGTGCACAAGGAAATGACGACCAGGCAGGTGTAAATGCACACGTATACGGATCATCTCATTCCAATCAACGGATTGAGAGATGGTGGTCGTTTTATCGCCACGATAGATCAACGTGGTGGATAAATTTTTTTATAGATTTAGTAGAAAGAAATATTGTAAATACTTCAAGTGAAATAAGCATGCAATGCCTATGGTTTTGCTTCAAGAATATTTTGCAGGCAGACCTTGACTCTGTGAAGGATAACTGGAACAGCCACTATATCCGAAGATCGCGTCATGATACTATCCCTGGGAGACCGAATGAACTGTATTACCTACCTGAGAACAGTGGCTTCCAAGACCACAAATGTGACGTTTCTGAAGAACAACTTAGAGATATGGGTATATACTGCGAATTGCCTGACGATGATAACACTTTTGAGCAATACTTCGGTTATGTTATGGAAAGCCAGAATCTAGTACCACCTTCAACCTGGAGAGAAGCATTATTTCTCTATAACAACTTGATGCATTTTGCGGATCCGGAGTTGTAGTATTTAATAACACTATACTGGTAGTTATGGTTATAGTTCCATTATATCATATAATATAAACATATAATATAAAACATATTACATAGGGATGTGCCGGATACTGTTTTGCCGGATAAGTACCGGATAGTACCGGATAGTAGTCTACCGGATACAGGTCAGGAGAAAATGATGACCGGATACCGGATAATAACCAGATACCGGATAATAACCAGATACTCCCATACAATAATTTATTAGAAGCACCACATTTTTATAGCTTAATTAACTAGCCCAATGTGGCAATGTGTTTAATACATTAACTTCAAGAGTTTTTTGTCTCTTTGACCTATTTGTCTTTACTAAGGCCATATCTTATGATTCACCTTACATTGTCTACTGGTATTCAGTATATAAACTTCACTGCTGTTGGTGAACGAGCAGTTCACATCACCATCACGAAAAAAATATGTCGTAATTTCGTCGTAATGCGCACGCTCAGTAATTGTTCGTGTTTCACAATTTTTAAACGCCAAGTAAACTTTTCCGTTTCATGGTTGTAACAAAATATCTTACAGTACTATCCGGTAAATATCCGGCAAATCTATACCGGATACCGGATAGTGCCGGATGTCTAAATTTTACCGGATATCGGTATCCAGCACATCCCTAAATTATTACATAATATAAAAACACATAATATAACATAATATAAAATTTAACTAACGAAACATTGTCAATCATTGTGTGTCCATTGACTCCATTAACTGGTGTGTCCCAATCTAACCTACTAGGGTAGTTAGGTTAGTTACGACTAATTTAACCTATGGCAAACAACTTAGCAATTAGGCATAACCAAAGCCTTTTGTATTAAGAAATGCTAATGTTACATCTTTTTTGAATTCAATATATGTGTTATGGATCACTGGTAGGTATATATCACATGCACAAGTATTGGCCTTTGGGAATCTAGACCGCGAACCACTTGCTTCCGGTGTATGAAGAAAACTTATCTCCAAAGCTAAACCCAAAGGAGGAATATATTTGCACCCACTTGCAAAAAACAGAATGTCAAAGAAACTTAGCCCATCTATTACTTGTTCTTCAATATCCTGTAGGAAGTCATTCCAATGTGACAAAACGAGACCTTCTATCGCATATTTATTGGAACCCTCTTCACTTCGCAGAAAAGAAAAAAGAGAGCCGAATGTGTCAGCACTAAAAGTACAACTTGAATAACAAAATACATCTCTAAACTGCTCATAATGCATACACATAGCATCAAGAACACCAAGGATACTAAGACCCGCTTTAAACCGTTCTAGGGAAGCTTGAAACCTCTCCAACACAAACCAGTGAGCAGTTTTGTCAACAACATTAAGGACATCTTCTGTTGTTTGAAACACTTGAAGAGTTCCAGCAAGATCTAAAATAGTTTCTAAATTATTGCTATCTGAAATAAGCTTTCGAGCTTCCTCAACTGTTGAGGCATTCTTAAATGTATTAAGAGAGTTTTTTAACTCAAAATCATAGACATCATCTACATTTACAGAAGCTTTCAGTACACCTTTTGTCAAGGCATCATAAAGAGGTTCCCCAAAACACCTAGGACCAGGACCACCATGAACTATTGACATTGCAATTAGCTCGCCAGCATAGAAGTAATAGTCATTAGTGAGGTAGTTAGAAATACTAGACAAATACTTATCTCTTTCAGTACCGCAGAACAACTGAGAACTTACCATCCACTCCATGATGAGAGTAAAGAATTCCCTCATTGGGCCCCCTGAATCAACTGCCCCTTCTGCAACTCCCACATCATCAGTAAACTTAATAGACACCTTGTGTGCCGGAGAAAATGACTTTCTGTTAAGGCCTCTTACTGCTCCTTCCCAAAGGTGACTTCGGCAAATATTAAACTTAGATATCTGAGTAGGGTTAATATTACTATTTAGTTCTACAAGTATGTCATGCAGTGATTGCTTATCATTATTTACTTTATTAATCTCTTCTGACTGTTCCTGAACATTTTCATTGTCGGAATCACTCCAAGGCACTTGCTCATCAAAGAGCAATGATGCATACAACAAATCATCATTACTAGGAAGCCATGTATCAGACCAGGTACTTTTATCAAACGAGACACCATTACTGGAACAAGAGGGATCATCAAGTTGTTTTTTAGATTCTGGGATAGTTTCAATGCCACTTTTAGTAACGTCACTATAAGTGAAAATTAAAGTCAAATATAGCAAATGTCAAAGTGGGCATGGGCAGTCATAGTGTCATGCCAATACCATATACAGTACTGCCCTTTTCAAAACTTGTTTAAGTGTAAGCTGTACTTTGTTATTGACATACCTGTACTGTACTACATAAATGTCGAGGGTACAACTTAAGCTGTTTACTACAATGCAAAGGCATGGAAAATATCTTTCAGCAATGAAAATTGTTTTCTTTTCAAGCTGGAAGCTTCTCCAAAAAGACCAATTTCAAATGAACATGTTACACAACCCTATTTTCAACCCAAAGTTAGAAATCAATAATCTGCAAAAGCCAGATTGTGTTTTACTAAATGTCTTGTTTAATATTCACATTTAATTTACTCACATATTTTGTGAACCACCACATCCAATTTCATCCTCAACAAATGCAATGTCTTTTCTTTTCCTTTTCCTGATGAGAAAGGAATTTGTATACTGAAATAATATATGGATTTATTAATGAATCTATATTCTTCATGCTGGTCACACAGAATCCGAATGCTCATTGTTCATTCTACAGTTTTATCCAAATACACTTCCCCCACAGATGAAATTTATGCCGTCTGAAGGGGGAGGGGATTGTATTGTGTGATTACACAAGTATAACTATAAAACTCTAGATCAAAACTATACAGACATATTTCCCGAAATTTCTAACAGCCTACAATTGTTGTAAACAAAGTTTTGTTGCACACAATTAGTATGTCTGTATTAATTAATTAATACCCACAAATTTATTACATCATTTCCCACCAAAAGATGTTGAATGCAGTAAGACGGTGGCTGGCTATTTTATTGGAAAAGTTTAGAATGCTTGGGTATTAAAACTATTGAGCTTTTTATTATTTGGCTCCATGTTTCCCAAAATTTACCTGACATCCTGAGTAACGTCAAACTGATCTTCGTCACTTGCTTCAGGATTGAAATCTGGTTCTTCTGGGCACAAGTATAAGGTGATTCGATTGTATGGTTTTCCCAGGTCTTCTTTATATTTTCTTAAAGTAAACTCTTGATCTTCCTGACCCGGAAGTGTTAAACAATATTGACCATCAGGGTAGACTAGTTTCCAACTTAATTTAGTGTCAAATGACTTGTCATAGGCCTCCCTTTTTGTCAACGCCACAGAAAAAACTTCCGCATATTTGGCGTCTTTGTTTACCTTTAATGGCAACGATTTTCCACGAACAGGAGTTGTCATGTCAAAACTGACGTATTTCATTAAACCAATGTTTATTAATGCCACTGTTTCCATATCTTTCGGCTTTGCTTTTTTCTTTGACGAGCTTCTAAAGTGTGTCGCCCTTTCTTCTTTTTTTTTTGAGGCATACTCCTCGAAACTAAGACATTTCGTCCCACGTGTAGTTGTATCTTTCGAACTTTTGGAAGTAGCACTTGTTTCGGTTGTTTCAATCAACTTGTTTAAACTACTCCCACACTTAGAACAAAACATGATTTAAACATTTATTGTTTAAGTATTTGATGTAAAACTAACGAAAAAACCACGGAGAAAATCCTGTGAAAACAATGGACGTAACCGCGCTAGAGAGTATAAGAGCCCACGATCCTTCTAGTCCGCCACCACTTCATGTTAGAAACATATAATATAAAATAATTATAAAAGTGTTTTGGTGAATTTATTGTTGTGTTTTAGTGAATTTATTGTTGTGTTTTAGTGAATTTATTGTTGTGTTTTGGTGAATTTATTGTTGTGTTTTGGTGAATTTGTTGTTGTGTTTTGGCAAATTTGTTGTTGTGTTTTAGTGAATTTGTTGTTGTGTTTTGGCAAATTTGTTGTTGTGTTTCAATGCAAATATTGTGTTGTATTTTGAAGTTTTTGATAAATTTGTTGTTGTGATTAGCAAATCGTTTGTTCTGTTCAGCGAACATGTTATTGTGTTTCAATGAATTTATTGTCGTGTTTAGTGAATATTGTGTTGTGTTTGCACTTGTGGGCCACCGTATATCAGGCCCTCCTTCATTTGCCGCCGCCAACTAATCCTGGCGAATGAAAACATAAGGGCCTGATACTCAGGTTAGTCAAATTACTATTATTTTCACATAAATTACATCTGCATATTTTATTGTCATGGATACTGCTACGAGCATAATGAGAAAAAAATACTTAAAAATGAATAATTGTATTGCTTGAAAACTATCACATGGTTGCAAGTTGCACTCCCCACTCTTTTTCCCTTCCCAATTTGCCACCTAATTTTCCATTTTGCCTTCGCATATCCTTCTGAGAGTACTCAAACAACCGTTGGTATTATGAAAGAACAGGGCACCCAAACCATTTATTTCTTATTTTTTGAGGAAAATAAAACAAACCTCATTCTAATGTGTTCTCTTGAATATACATGTCTATAGTTTAAAACTGTATATTCTTGCTTTTACCAACTTGCTAGTCTGCATATAGTGTATATTTTATATATAGTGTATACATATACAAAATATACACAATATACAGGTCTATAGTAAAAACTGTATATTCTCGCTTTTACCAACTCGCTACACAGTTTAAGCTCAGTTTTCACAAAATGTGAAAAAAGTGTTATTTAGTTTTGGCTTATCCACCGTTTTAACTGAACATGTTAATTATCATTTTTTAATAAACAGAATCAAACAGCGGAGCACTTCTAGTGATAACTATGTCCAGGTATAGTATAATACTTCCATTTCCTACAGATCTTATTACACTGGCCGCAGCCAGTGTCATAATTTGCCCTCGCTGGAATGCGAGGAATTTTTTCGTTTTTTTTGTTTGTTTTTTTTTGTCGCAAGTGTGACTTTCCATTGCGGCATCGTGGGCTCAGGATTGTGCAATGTAGCCACTGAGCTATAATATTACTGTAATATATTATAGCTCAGTGAATTTAGTTGAAACATGCTCACGATGATTTAACCAATTCCTATATTTTGAGAAGAAAGCGACACCGTTCGATTCAGCGTATAAAGAAATTGCACTTACGGATGTCAAGTGTATTACTTTAATAACACCAGTATTCTAGCGATTTATGGCCTTTGAAAATCAAGCGAAATTGTATTGACAAATCGCTCGCAGTATGTATTGTTATTAACAAATCACTCGCACTACGTTTGTCTTTGTATTTGTAATGCCTAATGGCGCAATAAGGATAAAAATTCCACCGTTCGATTCAGCATAAGAAATTGTACTTACGGATGTCAAATGTATTACTATTTATAATTTTATATACTATTGGAAATTTAGGGGCGACATCATACTCAAATTGCCACACAAAACGTCATTTTGACGTTTTGAGTGGGTGGGTGTGTTTTCAAGTGTCAGTTTGACGTTTTGCGTGGCAGTTTGAATTTTTTTAAATCAGAAAATATTGAACACATGTGCAGGGATGATTTTGGATGTATATGTAGAAGTTAACTTGAAGAATTTGTGTATTTCACTGTACCAAAGGCTTTAAAACAAATCAGTTTTCGCGAAAAAACGAAAAATATTTAATACAGGTATAAATTTTTATCATTATTTAAAACTACTTGGGCATTGATTTAAAGCATTATTACTCACTGGTAACACCTTTGAGGTCTCCCTTCTATAGTTTTAATAACAATATACACTTGACGTTTTCAACACTGGGTGGGTGGGTCAAAACGAAAACGTCAAAATGACGTTTTGCGTGCCAATGTGAGTATGGATGTTGCCCCTTAATACAACGAAATTAGCATTCTATTTCTACGTCAATATTAAATTTCAATTATGGTTTAATAATTATTTTCAATCTATAGTTATTCACCGTTTCCAGGTTTTTTATACCTTTAATAAAGCTACAATAAAGTTAAACTTGTAGGAAATAACATTTTTTAGTTATAAAATAGTATAAAACAAAATCTAACAGTGAAAGCTTTCGATACAAACTTGACCTGCCTTGACCTTGTTTATATTACCGTCGTTTGCAACTAACGATGAACAGTCGCTCATAAGGACATTGCCTATTCGCGTGAGAATCTTACGTTTTCTTATTTTGACATAATAGCTATTTTTCAAAAAATATATTGATCTTACACTTATTGAATCAATATTTTAAGTTTCAGACCAGTTGTACCAAACGTTATAAGCGGTCGCGCATCATTACCAGGGCACCGGGTCGATCATACAGGAGCCCAATTTCTTGGTTTTTCCTATGGTTTTCCAATGATTTTGGCGTAACCGTAATTCATCATCAAAATGTTGATGCCATGGTTGGCTGGTGCGCTTTTGGGAAGTATTCACCTCCTCCCCCCGATAATATTCAAAATAACAGACGTCCAGGGGGTGCCTCTTCGGCGTGCACTGGTTGGGATGTGGCAGCGTTTACTCTAATCATAGTGTTTCAAAACATGGTTTTGAAACTCGGCTAAAGTCTTTGTTCCATCTTTTTTGTTCGCGTTTATGCAGTTTTGTGCACGGTGCACAGTCAATGAACACATTGTATTTCAGTATGATGAACGAATCATCCAACAGCGACGTTTCAGTTCAGTCATTCAACCATGCTATTTAAATATTAATAAACCTAAAACAAAGGATGTGCACGGTGTAATCCCAGCTCATTATAACGTTTATTATTTCTATTCATTATAACGTTTATTATTTCTACAGATTATATTTGATTTCTATTTAACTATAAAATAAATATTTTTTTTAATTAAAACGGCTTTTACAAGGATTCTTCTAGAAAAAGTAACATTTTTTCTTTTCATTCGTAAAATCGGGAGGTTTAAACATAAATCGGGAGATCGGGAGATTTGCCAAGAAATCGGGAGCCTCCAGATCAAATCGGGAGGGTTGGAACCTTTGTTTCTGGGTGCTGTTGGGCAGACATTGGCACACAAAAGAGCATTTAACTTTTTGGGATGAATAAATTTGGTAGAATTTACAAATCTGGCATATTTTTTTGCGAGTTTATGTTTCGATTTCGTTGTATTGTTTTGCTTGACCTTGTCTATAGATAGACCTTTCCAAGGTTAAGGACGCCATCTTGAATCTGTTGTTTTAATTTCACCATTGTAATTGCAACACTATTGTGTTTCGTGATGGTGTCGTTAACCTTGGAAGTGGTCTATTGTCTATTGACCGTGTTTACATAATATAAAGTTCTATTTAAAGTAACGCACCTGATTGGATAATAAAATTTGAAAGGCATTAAAGTGCTGAAGTGCACAATATTACATCTATTTATACATCTACATCACTGTATAGTGACAAATGGTCGCAGACTGTTACCCTTCCACCACGGGGAGGGGGGGAGGGGAGGGACAGTCTGTGCACAGACTAGTATGATTGTTAGTGGCTCATCTTGTCTTCACCCCTGTCTTGACCAATAACTTTGCGCGTTGGTCTCACATGTGTCAGAATGCTCGTTGTCATTGAAAAGAACCGTTCATTGGATACGTACACAACCTATCATCGCCTCGTAAAGGACGAAAGTGTTCATGGTTTGATATGGAGTTACAGGGGCCAGATAACAAACGTGTTCGAGCCGTTTGTTTTGCAAAAGACAAGCGCACAACTTTGCTTGAAAAGCAAAACACTATGTCATCCGTTAAGATATCGAATTACATTGTGGGTCCCAGTTGGGCTGGAGAAGGCGAAGAAATACGAATAAATGATATGAGCATCATTCAAGCACCATCTGCCAGCGAATATAATTTCCAATACATACCAAACGTCAACGCCTCTGGTGAATCAGAAATAACCGCGGTGTCAGTTGTACAATCAGAAATTGAAACTGGTACGATTGTAAACGTAAAAGGTAAAATAAAAAAAGGTCAAAATGTCAAAGTCGTGGGAAAAAATAATTTAAAGATGCTAAAGTGCGCCATATGCGATCTCAGTGGTGTTTTGCAGATTACTTTTTGGGAAGATGAAATCCAACAGATCAAAGACGGTGTTGTTTACACGATTACAAACGTAAGTGTTAGAAATCGAGACCACACTAAATCGGTGACGACAACCCGTAATTCTGCTTTCATCGAAGTGAATGACGTCGACTTGAATGAAATCGACGAGAATGCTGCCTCGAAATTGTTAGATGAACCTGCCGAGGATACCACCTTAGAAGTGAAAAAGATAAGGTCAGTTGAACTTGATAAACACAAAAGTTGTGTACACTGTTCGGCTAAATTTCCACCGGGTATTGAAACAAATGTTGTGAAGTGCTTGAGGTGTGGCCATCGAATGCTGTTTGATGCTTGTCAACAAGTTGTCGCATACCGTATCACCGTTTCTTCCAGGGAAACGATTGCTACACTCACTTGTTTCTCTGAAGTGTTAGAAAATTTCTTTGAGATACCTGATGGTAGTGCATTAACGGCTGCTTGTTTTAAGTGACATCAAAATCGCATTTAATGACGAAAATATTGTCACTAACATTGAACAACTGTAATATAGTTTACCTGAACTTGTTCTTGAAATCTTGTTGCGTTTTGTACAATGTTGTTAATCAATAATATTAGAACTTGATATATAATAACATTGGACATTTTATATTATATAATTGACATTTAAAACATTCACTGTAGTTGTACAAGCCGTATGTACAGCTTTGTTAACATTTCCGTTTTGTGTAAAGGACATGGGAATTAATTTTCGAAAGTTAATGAGGAAAATTCTCAATTCTCATGGTCCAAGTTGTAAAGTGTTTACTATATTTCGTGTTTTTTTTGTTCTGATTTATATTACATATTGTTTCATATTATGGTATGTTGTGTTGGGTAGAATAGGGGTTATTTTTAAATATTACATGCTGTTTTTGTTGATATAAAGTAGGTCCTTTCCAATTAAATTTATATTGCCCTATTAAAAGTTGATTGTTCCAAACAAGTTACGAAAAGTATTTTTTTTGTATTTTCGAGAGTATTTTATAATGTCCAAAAAAAACTAAAGAACGTATAAATTGCGGGTGTCTACTTTTTGATTTCGCTTCGTTTATCGGTGAGATTTCAGATTTGACTATGGATTTGACACGCCCTGTCGCGATTCATGTTTAAAAAAAACTTAAAAACAAGCCAATTAACTTGATTGACAGATCACTTTAAAAAAAACTAATTAGTTTGCAATTGATTGACAGATCACTTTACCTGTTAAAAACAACTATAAAATACTGAAATATTAATACTATTTGGAACGCCTACTGTCTACCGGTCTTTGCAATCAAACGCGCCAAACATAAATCATAATGCGCTTGCTTCATGTCAACGTTACGTTAGCCTGTGCCCTGTGGTCAAAGCAATATTAATTTACACATACAATATATTTTTATAACGAAATTCGTTGATATTGTTTTTAAATGACTCTTAAATATTGTAAAACAGCAAGCTAAGCAGATTATAAATAAGTATTGTGTCAATGCATTTGCCACGCCTCTCATTTATAATTTGTTATTAGGTCACGTTCCGGTCACTCGTGTTTTGAAATTTTTAAAGAGAGAAATTTTCAACGTAATATTACAAAATAAATTAATTTTTGAATTCTAAAGCGATTAAATAAAACAAAAGAACAAAAGAAAAACATTTTAAAGTATATAAATAAATACGTACTTTGTATTCAAAAAATGCCCGTCTGCATATTTATTCGCGAAAAATATTATTGATATTGCTATTGGTTGAGTCGTTGACATAAGCAAGTTGTTAGTAAACAAAGTAAAAAATTCGACGCGCGGTGCGTTTGATTGCAAAGAGCAGTATTTTCTGTTGCAAGGTTAAAAAACAGCATGTAATTTTGCACGAATTTGACAAGCAAAGTGTGAGTTAAATTTAGTTTAGTTAATCTCAAAAGTTGAAAATTGCGAGCTTCAGGTCTGTAATCACTGCCTCCCCGTATGTTTTACTATCTCATTGGATCTTTGCCCTCCCTCTAAAGTAATGCATGCTCTGTCTAACTCGCAACTCGTATATTACTTTGTAGTTTTGTAGTACATTATGATGTATTTATTATACTGTAATGTTTATATTCAAATAAAAGATCAAAAACTTATTATTTGTTTGGCTATTTTTATAGGAGTTTTGCATCTGCAAAAATGCATAAAATTACTGGGTTGCTACCTGAAGACGGGCCACGCTCCAATTATGGGCCTTGTCCCAATGAAAGGCTGTTGCCTAAGCATGGGTCTCGTCCCAAAAAACAACCAAAAACCACTATGTGTGAATTATTGTATTATTTCACGTTTTCTACAGACACTGACAATGCATTTTATGTAGAACGTTTGCAAAAGTTCTCAACATCATCAATTTTAGCAGCCAAAACTGCAGCTCTTCAGATAAATTTTGTTTCGTTATCATCATTAACAGCTTTGAGCAAGTCCTTGTCCCATTGCAGTTCCTTTTTTTTTACTTCAAGGTCCAGCTTAAATTTGAATAACAAGTTCAATAGTACTAATGTAGACTCTCTTATTTTCAATAGTACCAAATGTATTGACTTGTATACAGAATATGTTGATCTGAACACCGAATGTTTTAATTTTAATGCTATATGTATTGATTCCAAATACAAATTAAATTTCCGCAAAAGTATTAATAGAAATATCAACAACTCCACGAATTCTGCCTTATCTCGCCCAAAAAAAGATACATTCAAGGATTTACAGCACAGGATAAATTACTGTGAACTTAACCTTAGTGGTGATATTGAAGTTAATCCTGGTCCTGCTTTTGTTGATCCTGCAAAAACTATTCATGCTCCTTATTGCCAAGGTGACGTTAGTGTATTTGGCGAAAATGCAGGTCGGCAATGTGTGGCTATGAGTTTATGTTCCTTAATATATACGCACAGCAATGGATCAATACCTGATTCGACAGCTTTAATAAACATTATGAAGTTCGGCGATGAACTATACTCGATATTGTCTAGCTTATCAAAACAGCGTTATTTATTACTTACAGAACTGCCCACAATGCTTACACTTGGCGATACCAACTATTCGCTTGAGCTTAGTGAGAGTTACAGTGGTAACCTTCATTTAGATGCTGTTAATGAAAACATTCCATTTGTGATGCCAATAAATGCAGCTTTAGAACAGTTAGGCCAAGAACAATTTAATTCATTTCTTTTAACTATCGAGCTCAACACTGTGGCCATCTTTATTGAGAATAATAATTTATTTAAGGTATTTGATTCGCATGCAAGAGACTTGTATGGTATGCCCCACCCTTGTGGTTCATGTGTGCTGTTAAAGTTTGATTCTATTTGGAAATTGACAGAATATTTTAAGTTTTTGTACGCACCTGGTGCTATATTTGAACTTAAAGTAGTTAAAATTATAAATATTGAGTGCAATGAACAGTTACAAAATGTAAATTCAAATGAAGTCATTACAGATGCAACCACAATTAGTAATGACACAAGTTTGAACTGCACTTCAGCAGCTGCAGACGACATATCAAGCCATATTTGTACTCTCTATACTCAGGAATGTTCAGTTTACATTTATGCTATTTGCTTTTCTACAATTATGACATGTAGTTATTGAGCATGCCATGGGGATTTATGAAGCGCTTAATCATGAAAATCAACAACGTTCATGAAAATCAACATCATTTTCCACCATCAGTGGACATGTGGTGTGCAAATTGATGTAACATATACCTGTAGACATGAGGGAACATTGTGTGTCACATCATTGTCCAGTAAGATCGCCTTGGAAACTCTAATTACAGATAATGCTGCACAAAATATGGGATTTTTATTATGGCTATCAAATAATTATTGTTTTGGATGCATTATCCATAATCAAATAAACAGAAAAAAGCCAACCAGAAAATATTTTATAATTACATCTGATGAAACTCGTGAACTAAATCTATTCAAAGAACTCCCAGATCCCCATTTTGTTGTTGCTAGACTTTGTGATGTGCTTGATTTCAATGATCCTGAGGCACGAGTAGTAAAATATATCATTCAATTTTTGTCAAGTGCAACCACACTAGCAAAGTCAGAAAAACAAAAAGTTCAGTGAAAACATAAGTCTACCAAACAGAGGAGATTGGTTTCTGCGAATAGGAAAAAAATGTATAAAGAAAGCCTATGCAATAAAAATGCTCTTAAATACAAGGAAATGGAAAGTGGTATGAAAAGTGAACTCAGAAAAAAAAATGCTCTTAAATACAAAGAAATGGAAAGTCGTAAGAAAAGTGAACTCAGAAAGAAAAATGCTCTTAAATACAAAGAAATGGAAAGTGGCAAGAAAAGTGAACTCAGAAAGAAAAATGTTCTTGAATACAAAGAAATGGAAAGTGCTAAGAAAAGTGAACTCAGAAAGAAAAATGCTCTTGATTTCAACGAAATGGACCCAACTAAAAAAAAAAGCTTAATAAAAAAAAAGTTGCTAAGTATCGTGCCATGGATCCTTCAGATAAAAAAATGCTTCTTAAAAACCGAGAAAACAAGTACAAATCTATGAATCCTTCTAAAAAGAAAGTTTTTGAAAAGCAAACAGTATGTTACAAAGGCATGGATACAAGTGAAAAAGAAACTTGCCTGAAGAGGAAAAGTCCTAATATGAAACGTAAATACGATGCTGTCAATTTACCTGGAAAAGCGAATGAACGTGAAACACCCAACACAATGAAATCCTCTAAATACTAAGACTATTTTATATGCACCTTATTTTATATGCACCTGCACAAAATTAAAGACGGCCCTTGTTATATATGTTGTGTTTGCAATCGACTTCTGTATAGAAAATCTGTCAAATTATTTGATAGAAACAGTTGCAACTTATCTTTGCCAGAGTCTGTATTCACAAACATAACATCATTTGACGACAAGGAATATATTTGTGCAACTTGCCACTCAAAGGTAACAAAAAGTAAAATTCCTTGTCAAGCTGTTTACAACAATATGTCTGTTGATGAAATCCCTCCAGAACTTGCACTTCTCGAAAAAACTAGAACAAATTCTTATCGCACAGAGAATTGTTTTTGAGAAGATAATTGTGATGCCTAAAGGTCAACAAAAAAAAGTAGCTGGAGCAATATGCAATGTACCAGTTAACTGTGATCAAACATGTAAAGTTTTACCACGACCACCTGAAAGGTCTGGAATTATAATGTTAAAACTTAAACGAAAGCTTCAGTTTAGAGGTCACGTATATTTTCAAGCTGTTCGTTCCTCAACTGATTGAAAATGCCTTAAACTGGTTGAAACAGAACAATCCTCTGTATTATAATGTAACAACTGAAATGAACCACCTCAATGATAATTTTCAGAACATAGAGCAAACTGACGTACATTCCATCACCTTGTCAGAAAACGAAAACATGGAAGAAAGTGATGATCCTTTGAATGAGTATCGCCAAGCAACAAATGAAACATGTCTGCAGTCAGTGCTTCCAGACTATCCTGTAACAATACAAAGTTCTGAAAGAACTTCTTTGGGAAATGAAATATATGATATTGCTCCCGGAGAAAATAGGCATCCGGTATCTATTATGACTGACCAGAAATGTGAAGAACTTGCTTTTCCAGTTTTGTTTCCACGAGGACGCTTTGGTTATATGGAAGAGAGAAATATTAAGCTGTCGCCAGTAAAGTATTTTAATTCTAGACTTCTCCATTATAGTGGTCGATTTGCTACAAATGCAGAATACCCTTTTTTTCGCACAATTTGTAATTGAACAGAAAAAGGTTGCTGACAGCATTAATATAGCTTTGAAGAAAGTTCAAGGCCAAACTTTTACTGCATCCCAAATAAAGTCGGATGTGAATAAATTAAAAAACCTAGTGTGTCAAGACCAAGCATACTTGTTTTTAAGACAAATACCTGGCACTCCTCCATATTGGCAAAAGTTTATGTATGAAGTTGTAGCGATGGTAAAACAACTTGGTATTCCAACATGGTTCATGACATTATCTTGTGCTGACCTTAGATGGTCTGAGTTGTTTCAAATAGTCAGTAGAACACTGGGTAAAAATATAACAGAAGAGCAGGTCGAAGCTCTGTCTTATGCTGAAAGGTGTCTGATGTTAAATACTAATCCTGTTGTTGTTGCAAAACATTTTCAACACAGAGTTGAAACATTTTTTAGCAAGATTCTTCTGAGTAATTGTAATCCCATTGGAAAAATTACTTATTATGCTCTTCGTATTGAGTTTCAAATGCGTGGATCTCCTCATTTACATGCATTAATATGGACATCTGATTGTCCAAAACTTGCAACTGAGACCAAAGGTTCATATATAGAGTTTATTGATAAAAACGTTCAAGCTAACCTTCCTGATGAACATGCAGAACCCGAGCTACATCAATTGGTCAAAATGTATCAAAAACATAATCATTCCAAAACCTGCAGAAAGTACAAGAATGTTAGCTGCTGTTTCAATTTTGGCCAATTTTTGGCCAAACAAACTATTGTGCCAGAACAACTTGATGAAAATCTAGATGATCAAATTAAAAGCAGTATATTGAGCAGACGTAAGGAAGTACTGTCTTTAGTTAAGCAAAAAATTGACAAAATGTTAAATCCATCAAAAGATGGCTATGATAGTACTTTGATTCAGGCAGATGTTTTGACTGTAGCTGGTGTCACCGAAGATCAGTATTACTCGGCTCTGTCAATCTCTCCCGATTCGGACTTTGACTTACATCTTAAACGACCAGTAGACAGTTGTTTTATAAACAATTACTTTGTTGCTGGTCTTAAAGGATTTGGTGCCAATGTTGATTTACAACCAGTTTTTAATCATTATAAATGTATCACATATGTTTGCTCCTACTTTACTAAGGACGAAAAAGAGTGTTCCCAGGCAATATACAATGCAGCAAAAGAGGCAAAGTCGTCTAATATGAATATTAGAGATGGTTTGAAGAGAATTGGTGCAGCGTTTCTCTCTACCAGAGAAGTAAGCTCCCAAGAATGTGTTTATAGATGTATGCCTGAGTTGTGGTTAAGGAAAATATTTCCCAAAACAGTGTTCGTCAATACAAATTTACCTGAGAAAAGAGCATGTGTTACTAAAACTCCAGATGAGCTTAATGAACTTGATGATGATAGCACTGATATATACAAATCCAATATTATTGAACGTTATACTTTAAGACCAAACTCGATTCCTGCTGTTAATAAATTATGCCTAGCTCAATTTGCTGCCTCCTACTACAAGGATTATAAAACAGACTTATGATGAGACAAAGGATTCTCAACCTGATATTTTAAATGATGACTTACTTGAATCACATCATTTAGCAGAACAATCTCTTCCTACAAAAATGAATATATGAAGTGTAGAAAAGTTAAAGCTGTCATAAGGTATCATCATACACCAAACAAAACAAAAGAACCTGAGTTATATTTCCACCATTTGCTCATGTTGTATTTTCCTTGGCGAGATGAAAAAGACCTTATTAATTCCGATCAAACATATGCGTCCAAATTTTCTTTGAACCCAGAACAGTGGTATGCATATCATATAGTTCTCTCTTGGTGCAGAAAATTAATAAAAAGCATGAATAGCTTAAAATCTGTAGAAGTCAAACCAATTTATCTTTTTCTAACTGGAGGTGGTGGTGCAGGCAAAAGTCATTTGATTAAAGCAATATATCATACAGCAGTTAAAACTTTCAGCCATCCCCCATTTAATCCTACATTACCAACTGTCTTGTTGATGGCACCGACAGGTGCTGCCGCGATAAATATTGATGGAACCACAGTAAATACAGGACTTGGTATTCCTAAAGAAACTGGTACATATCTTCCGGCAATGTCTGACCAGAAGAAAACGCAATACAGGCTTACTTTGAAAGAAACAAAGCTTTTACTTATAGACGAAATTTCTATGGTCGGAAACACAACTCTCTTACATGTCCATCAGCGATTAAAAGAAATATTTGGTTCTTCTGATATATTTGCAGGCAAGAGTATTATAGCTGTGGGTGACCTATACCAGCTTCCTCCAATTAAGAAGAAAGCAGTCTTTGAAAATTTTAAAATTGAAACTTACAATCTTTGTCATCCATGGAGTGTTTTTAAAATGACTGAACTTACAGAGATCATGAGGCAAAAAAATGATAGGGCGTTTACTGAATTGCTTAACAGAATACGAACAGCTTCACATACAGAAAATGATATTAAAGTTATTAATTCCAGATGTATTACACCATCTAATCCAAACTACCCATCTGACGCACTTCACATTTGGGCTGAAAATACTCCTGTTAATGAATACTGTAGTATCCCAGAATCCTTTGGGGTTCGGGCCATTGTGTACTGAGAGACAGAACTGGGTGGTTATAACATTGGCGACGAGGATTTTTTTTAAGCGAAACACGTATAAATGGCCACCTACGGAAAAGTAAGTCCGTTTGATGAAGCAGAAGAAACGTGGACCCAATACACCGAACGGCTGGAACAATATTTCCTAGCAAATGAAGTGACAGACGCCAAAAAGCAGCGGGCAATATTTCTCAGTGTGTGTGGCTCGAAAACATACGCATTAATTCGAGATTTACTACAGCCAAAGAAACCGGGTGATACGGAGATAAAAGAAATTTTCAAAGAGCTGGAAAAGCATTTTATTCCAACACCAAGCGTCATTGTAGAGAGATTTAAATTCCATAGCAGAATTCGCCGTGTTGACGAAGGAATTGCTAAGTATGTGGCTGAATTACGTCGAATGACCGAGCATTGCAAATTTGGCACTTCCTTGGATAATATGATACGGGATCGATTAGTATGTGGTATCAACAACGAAAAGATTCAAAGACGACTCTTAGCAGAACCTGAACTAACATACAAGAAAGCAGTTGAACTTTCGTTAGCTATGGAATCGGCATCAAAACACGTCGAAGATTTGGGCGCCAAAGGAGTTTCTATCGAAGACCCAAATAATATACATCGTGTAAACAACCGTGAGGACAACCAGCAATCAAGTCGCTCCGAATGTTATCGTTGTGGGGGGAAGCACGCAGCAAATTCGTGTAAATTTCGCGAGTTTGAATGGTGCATGCGATAATTGTGTGAAAAAGGTTTGTCGTAGCACAAGGCGAGGAACAAAGCAAGCAGAGTTGCCACAGCGACGCGAAACCGGAAGTCGAGGGAAACGTGAACAGGATACGGAAGTAAAAATGGTTAATGCACAGGGGGCCCAAGAGGAAGAATATTCGCTGTACAATATTCGAGAGAAAAAAAAAGACAAATCGATTTCAATTGATGTAGAACTGGGAGGCCAGCCAATCAGAATGGAATTAGACACTGGAGCTACTAAGACAATCATAAGTGAAGAAACATACAACAAACTATGTAAGAATTTGACACCACTTCGCAAGACAACAGTTGTTCTTAGCACCTATACCGGAGAGAGAATTGCAGTAGCGGGCGAAGTAATGGTTCCAGTGCGGTATGAAAACCAACAGCATAACCTACTCGCACTTGTGGTCAAAGGTCAAGGTCCAAATCTGTTTGGCCGAGATTGGTTGCGTGTAATCAAAATGAACTGGGCCTTAATATTCCAAATAAATGAATGTCATCCTTGCAGTGAATTGAAGGAAGTTCTTGAAACCCACAAAGAGGTTTTTACCGAAGAATTAGGTACTTTGGAAGGAACAACAGCAAAAATCTATGCAAATCAAGATGCACAACCCAAATTTGTGAAGGCTCGGCCAGTTCCTTTTGCCATGAAAATTCCACTGGAACAAGAATTAGAGAGACTACAGCGAGAGGGAATCATATCTCCAGTTGAATTTTCAGATTGGGCTTCGCCAATAGTGACAGTAGCCAAACCAGATGGATCGGTCCGCGTATGTGGTGATTACAAAGCAACAATTAACCAAGCTTCGAAACTAGACAACTACCCAATACCGAAGACGGAAGATCTGCTTACAACCCTCAGTGGAAGCCAAAAATTCACTAAGTTGGATATGTCACAAGCCTACCAACAGTTGAGGCTAGACGAGGAGTCCAAGAAGTACACCACAATTAACACTCATAAGGGACTTTACCAATATAATCGCTTACCTTTTGGCATATCATCGGCCCCAGGTATATTCCAGCGGACACTAGAGAACTTACTTCAAGGTATTCCAAGTGTCATTGTGCGAGTTGATGATATTCTTGTAGGCGGTAAAGACGATGCAGATCACCTATCCAATTTGAATGCAGTGTTGACGCGACTGTCTGGAGCGGGCCTAAGATTGAAGAAGATCAAATGTTGTTTCATGGCATCAGACGTGATATATTGTGGCTATGGGATAAACAAGAACGGAATCCATCCGATGGTCGAAAAAGTCGAAGCCATCACGAAAGCACCAGAGCCAGAGAACATTAACCAATTACGATCATTTCTTGGAATGATAAACTACTATCACAGATTCTTACCAAATGTGGCAACGATCCTAGAGCCACTACACAGACTACTGCGACAGGGAACCAAGTGGGAGTGGGGAGAAGAGCAAAAGGCGGCATTTGACTATGCAAAAGAGCTCCTACAGTCAGCTGACTTACTCATCCATTTTGATCCGACCAAGCCGTTAATCTTAGCGACAGATGCATCGAATTACGGAGTTGGGGCCGTTTTGTCACATGTATTTCCTGATGGGACAGAAAAACCGATAGCGTATGCCTCAAGGTCTTTAAACGCAGCTGAGAGAAATTATTCGACAATCGAAAAGGAAGCATTGGCCACGATTTTCGGCGTTAAGAAGTTTCACAAATTTCTTTACGGACAGTCATTTACCATCAAAACAGACCATAAGCCATTGGAAGGGTTACTCAGCGACAAAAAAGGAGTCCCCACTCAGGCAGCACCACGAATTCAAAGATGGGCCCTCACACTAGCAGCATACGAGTACAAGATACAATATAAAGCCGGGAAAAACAATGGGAACGTAGATGCATTGAGTAGACTACCCCTACCAAAGATGCCACTGTCAACGCCACAGCCAGGTGAAACAATCCTCCTGATGGAACATTTGGAGGAAACACCAGTCAACAGCACTCAGATAAGAGAGTGGACCAAACGAGATCCAGTTATGTCAAAAGTCCTTCGTTTCACAATGCAAGGTTGGGCAGAGTCCTATGATTCCACAACATTTAAATCTTACCACAACAAAAAGTTTGAGTTAAGTGTGGAGGATGGCTGTTTACTCTGGGGTACGAGAGTTATCATTCCACCCCCAGGACGATCAAAGATCTTAACGGAGCTGCATGAAGCACATCCAGGGGTTTCCCGCATGAAAGCCCTCGCAAGAAGCTATGTGTGGTGGCCTACTCTTGATGAAGATATTGAGAGGGAAGTGAAGAATTGCAATCAGTGTCAACTGCATCATACAACTCCAGCTGCTGCACCACTTCATCCATGGGAGTGGCCAGGACATCCCTGGACACGGCTTCATATTGATTATGCAGGACCATTCAAAGGTGAAATGTTTCTGGTAGTGGTTGATGCATATTCTAAGTGGCTAGAAGTTCACCAGATGACATCCACTACGTCTACAGCAACCATTGAGAAACTACGCGAGATTTTTGCCACACATGGGCTACCGACAACAGTTGTGAGTGACAATGGAACAAATTTCACGAGCAATGAATTTGAAGAATTTATGAAGCGAAATGGTATTAAACACATCAAAGTTTCACCATACCACCCAGCATCAAATGGGCAAGCAGAGCGTGCAGTGAGAATTTTTAAAGAGGGCATTGAGAAGATGAAGGAAGGAAGTATGAGAACAAAATTATCGCGATTCCTTCTGAAATACCGTATTACACCCCATACGACAACGGGTGTGCCGCCAGCGGAGCTGTTGATGGGCAGACACCTGCGTACTCAGTTGGATCTGATACAGCCAAACCTTGGAGATCGGGTGAGGGAAAAACAATCACAGCAAAAGGCAGTACATGACTACCATGCTAGAGAACGGATTATCGAAACCGGGAACCTAGTATATGCGAAAGATTTCAGGAAACCTAAAAGTTGGATGCCCGGGACGGTAGTGAAGAAGACAGGACCAGTGTCGGCAGAAGTACAGCTTGATGATGGTCTAATTATCCGGCGTCACCAAGATCATCTCCGCATTCGCACTGATGTTCCTCAAACAACTATAGCGAGTGGATTGGAAGACATTCAACTACCAACCAGGGAGGTGAATCCTGCAGAACCATGGGAAGAACCCGAACTGGAAGCGAGAGCAGAACAAAGAAGACAACCCCATAGAGACCGTCGTCTTCCTCAACATTTGCAGGACTATGAACTAGCAAACAGCTAAGTTGAACTGGTTATAAACCATTATTTAATATGACATTTAGTTAAAGTTGACATTCTATTTTTGTTAGATACAGAGTAGTTCAGATTATTGGACACTGGGAAGGGAGGAGTGTAGTATCCCAGAATCCTTTGGGGGTTCGGGCCATTGTGCACTGGGACACAGAACTGGGTGGTTATAACAGTGTCATTGCCACAGCCTCGCGTTTGCAACTCAAAAGATCCTCGTTCATTTGATCTGTCCATTTACGCCTGTGTTTATATTGCCTTCGATTAGCCATATTGCCGGTGACTTGCTATCGTTGACATAGAGTTTCACAAAATCGTTTAAACTATTGCCTTTCTGAGTTCGTCTGTTCGAATTTGTCTCGTTTACACAGCAAGCTGGATTTTGTGCAGGAATTTCAACAACAAGAAAATAGTATAAAGTCGTATTTTCGTTTATAATACACAGACGTTTCTTCCTGACGTGTAGCATGTGGCCGCCATCGCTAATAATGGAAACTTTAATAATTTTGTTATATACTATATATATACAATTGTAAATCTCATTAATTTAAGGTAACTTACAATTGGCTATTTGAATCACAACTATATGAACTAATAAAAACGATAAGACAGAATACATGAAAATATATAAATATACAAGACAATCAGATATTTCAAATAGTTAACAAGTCCGGACTTTCCCATTCCTTATTTCGGCAGCAAAAAATATAGTATGTACTTCGAATGGCAATAGTCATCATTTTCCTAACACAGTACGTTTGGTAGTTTTTGTCCAGACCAACATTTCCTAACATTTCTAAGAATGTAGAGCATTCTTGGGCAAAAATACCTAGGGAGCTCATAGAAATATTTATAAAGTTTACTTCGTTAAAATTTTCGTCTAGTTGTTTTACTAGTTCTTTATATTTGGCTTTTTTCCGATTAACGTTGTTCTCGAGGTTTGTCTCATAGAGAGCCATTTGATAACGATAGCAACAAATCCGGGCGATACGAATACGATAATAATAATAATAATAATAATAATAATAATAATAATAATAATAATAATAATAATAATAATAATAATAATGGAAACTTTATTAAATGTTTTTCTTTACATACTTATACAATCGTAAATCTCTCTCATAAAGGTAACTTACGGTTGGCTATTTGAATCACAATTATACTAAACTAAAATAACAGAACAAAGTGCATGCAATATATATATATATATACAATGAGATAAGTCAAATTATATTAATAATAATAATAATAATAATAATAATAATGAAAACTTTATTAAATGGATATTCAGCTTATTATACAATTGCAAATCTCACTTATATCAGGTAATTTACAACTGGCAACTTAAGTGGCTGTCTCACTAAGAACCATGCAGAGAGTTTCAGGTTGAAAATTAGATTTCCTTTACATTTTTACCATGAACTACCTTTGTCCTAAAAGGTATTAAACTAATACTAGAATTTCTAAATTTTTCTTTTTTTTTTAGTTATGACGAATTTTTGTCTGGACGTCAGCGACACTGAAATTTGACCCCGAGAACGGCGGTCAAATGTGTGTTAAATTGTGCATCATAACTCGGGAAGTTTCGCGTCAAATTAAAAACTTTTTTCAGTGTATTGAGACATATTATTTTTCTTTTAGAATGTTGAAAGAATTTGAATGTACATCTTATTTTAAGCCTACTAGTCTCCATCCAAGGATGTCGGCATTTTCGTTCGCCGAACAACTAATGATTAGGTATAAAATTCAAACTAAAAATTCTCAAAAGTGCCACCTACCTGGCGTCTAAAACACTTCTAGGGTTAAAGTAGAATACTTAAAGTTATGTTATTCGCAATAAAACTTGTCGGCAAAAGGAATATGAAGAAGTGCAAAATTCATAAATTATGGCTATAAATAGCTCTATTGTTTACCTTTGTGATAACCGGAAACACGTTCAGCGTTACTCGCGGAGCTTTTATAAATTTATATTAGCAATTATTATAAATATAAAATAGTGTTTATAAGTTCTTATATATGAATATAAGCACCGCCTTGTAATTTTTTTAAGCTTTTGGAAAGCCTTTAGAATTGATCGTTTTAAAGTTGATTAAAATTACTAAATAGTTGCACGCAAACATAATGTACAATATATTATCGTTGTTTAATATGTACGACGAGTGTGCCATAAATAGAATACACGCTATATTACGAAAGCAACAATATACTAAACTTTATACTTAACTTGCTACCTGGATAGTTATTTTCGCGTGTTAATTCTTCAACAAACAATTTAATCACGCAAATTTAATCTTTAATCAAACGTTCGGGAGTAGTCGAAAACATTTCGAGGTTGGTAAATTGTGTACCTGTAGTCTGTAGTCTGTATGCCAAGGGGATTTAATACGTTTGTAGCCAATTTTTAAGTTTCTCTAATTTATAAAATAATAATACAAAACCACGAAAATAATAGCAGAAAATAATAGCAGAAAATAATAGCAGACGCAATTTATACAAGCTGTTTTTGTTCTTCAATGCGCCATTGTTAAAAATAATTATTGGAGTATTTTTTAAACTTGCTTCTTAAATAATATCAATGACAGTGTTCCTATGTAATTTCCACACCTGTTTTGTTTAACAGAAAATTAACGCAAAGAAGTGCCGTTTTTAGATATTTCTAGAAGCTTACTAGTATAGTTATGATTATGGAGAAAAGTTGTTCATTTGTTGGCGTTGGTGGAATTTGTTGTGGTGAAAGTCGTGGATTACAGGAGATTAGTTGCCTAATTGATTGTAAGGAAGATATGAGTGTTCAACTATCAAACTGTCATCTTTCTAAATCGAACTTGAGAGAGAACGAGTTAATTGCTATTCGCGCGGGAATGTTCAATCTTACCGAAGACCAGTTTAAGATGACGTTTATTTGTCCGTCCCACCGTCATAATTTGGGATGATTTTGGAGGCCGCTAAGACCGTGCCAGTATTCCCTCCATTCGGGCCCTGTTCGTGAGTGTACAGGAAGAGATGTTTTCAATGTGTCATTATCAAAAACAGTTTTTACTCTTTATGGGAAATTAATTCAAATATAAGATCTCGTAAGTATTACGCTACTTTTACTTTTTCAAGTGTTGTAATTAGTACTTTAATGACGCAGGGGAAACTGGTGATAACTATCGTAAGTTTACGTGTTCTTCATGAAGGAGGATGCGTAAGTTTACGTGTTCTTCGTTTTGAGGCACAAAGAGAAATGCTTGTGGACAACTTGTGGAAAATGCTTGCTGAGATCGACGTATGCCTGCATCCTATATACCACGACGCGTATGATTTATGTGACATGTACAAACAGAAGAGCCTATCTGTTTTTAAAATATAACGATGCTGAAAGAAATTTGTGCGCATCTTGAACTTCAGTTCAAATCAAAGGATAAAAACAGACTCTCGTAGATAAAATATCATACATGATTGGGCAATGCACATGTTTCCAAATGAATATACTAAATTGTGCAGGTGCGGACAAATACTTCCAGACTAACTTGGACATGTCGAGAGATGTCATTGTTCTTGGTCCGCGAGTATGTGGAGCCTGGAACAGTATCGTTAACCCAAATCAAGTACCAAAAACGCTGCATGCAAACTACGATGTTATGTATTTTTTATTGCTATAATTTATACTACTATTATGAGACAAATCAAATTTTGCCGAAAAATACCAATTGAAGTTGAAAGTTATTCACAGAATGGCGATTAGCTGCAAACTACTGTAAAATTATTATTATTGCTGTATAGATTAAAGTAAAGATAAAGGACAGATCTCAGTATACGTCGCAGCCGTAGTCAATGTCAATGCAACTAAGATCGTTTTATACGATGAATTGAATCGTTTGCATGAAAGGACAAAAATTCTGCCAAATGGGCGATGCGGAAAACTTTTAACAGAATATAATAACAAGTTCATGGATTTATTAATTCGATGCGACGTTACGGCAACACACATTTTCGACATTGGCATTGTACACCTCAGGGCCGTAGCAACCGGGGGGGCTTGGGGCTGCAGCCCCCCCCCCCAATAATTTCCTAATAATCATTCTTTTTTCAAAATCATGCAGACCTTTATCATTTAATCCATGACTGCAAAGAATGAAGATATTACCCATATTTTCCTGCAACTTATCCAATATATAGTTAATTAAATACGCATTCGGCCATTTAGTACTACTAAATTGTAAATTTCGACATAGTAAAACGCTGTTTTCTGACTATCAGAATTCTGTCAAATCTTCCCCAAAGTCCAGGAAATGGTATTTCAGAGACTATTGAAAAGAGCTTCCTACAGCCCTGTACCTGTCCGGTCATGAGGGATACAACGTCCTAGACGAATTTGTTTCTTCTGTCCGTTTTGGACCTCAAAGATCCATCACATTTCATCGATCGAATTAAACTTTTCTGAGTTAAATACAATGATTGTGCAATATATTAGTCGCTATAAAAACTCCGCGAGCAACCTTGAACGTGTTTCCGGTTATCACAAAGGTAAACAATAGAGCTATTTATAGCCATAATTTATGAATTTTGCACTCCTTCATATTCCTTTTGCCGACAAGTTTTATTGCGAATAACATATCTTTAAGTATTCTACTTTAACCCTAAAAGTGTTTTAGACACCAGGTAGGTTGCACTTTTGAGAATTTTTAGTTTGAATTTTATACCTAATCATTAGTTTTTCGGCGAACGAAAATACCGACTTCCTTGGATGGAGACTAGTAGGCTTAAAATAAGATGTACATTCAAATTCTTTCAACATTCTAAAAGAAGAAGAATATGTCTCAATACACTGAAAAAAGTTTTTAATTTGACGCGAAACTTCCCGAGTTATGATGCACAATTTAACACACATTTGACCGCCGTTTTCGGGGTCAAATTTCAGTGTCGCTGACGTCCAGACAAAGATTCGTCATAACTCAAAAAAAAAGAAAAATTTAGAAACTCTAATATTAGTTTAATACCTTTTAGGACAAAGGTAGTTCATGGTAAAAATATAAAGGAAATCTAATTTTCAACCTGAAACTCTCTGCATGGTTCTTAGTGAGACAGCCACTTAAAGGACAATGGCAACAAAAATTTTTATTGTGTCGTTTGAAAGAATGTTTAAAATTATTTCTAAAATCTTGTTACAGATTTTCGTATCAAGCTTATGAAGGAAATGAAGCTGTCTGCCATCTTGGATTAATTCTTCATCTCATTAACTATCGTTTTGATGACGTCAAGAGTGGGGTTAGTCTTATAAAATTACTCCTAAGTTGGTGAGTAACAATCAAAAGTTGTTTAATATGTTTTTATTCAATTCAAAACGTGAAATAGCAACCAAAAACGAGTTTCAGATTTATATTGATTACTGGTTGTTCCAGACAAAAAACTTGCGTGACCCCACATGTGACGTAATCTGCATAATCGTAATAATCCAAGATGGCGGACAGCTCTGGACGCTTTTAGTCCAAATATTTGAAGAACCAAGCAAGATATGAAGAATCTGTAACAAAATTTTAGCGATGATTTTAAACGTTCTTTCAAATGAGACAATAAATTTTTTTCTTGCCATTGTCCTTTAACAGTTTTAATTATGCTTATATTGCAAAGCCAGAATGTCGGGTTTATGTCATAGTCAATCTTTTCATGAGCTTGCTTTAATCGTAAAAAAGGAACGTTGAGCATTAAAGTCCGATTCCACTGGTGCTAATTCGCCCCTGTACTTGTGTAGACTATAAATTTAAATGCCAACTTGTTCAAAATTATCAGTACGTTTAAGTGCGCTTCAACCCGTTTTAATAGCTGATTGAATATGCGCTTCAAAGTTGAGTTTTAGTGACATATACACTAAAAGAGTTTACTAGCAAGTTTTCTTCGTATGTTGTATTGACAGAATTAGCACGTACGTTTAAGTATAAATTTCAACCCGTTTTATAGCTGAACAAATTTGCGCTTCAACATCTATGACTTTAATAACATCTAACATCTATGACTTTAATAGTACGGATATAATAAATATTCTAACATCTATGACTTTAACGATATACCAGAGATTTTGCAAATTTACAATACATCTTATAAGATTTAGATTGAATTATACTAACCTGGATATTGACGATGGAGGAGATCGGCTGTAGAGTCTTTGTTGTATCTTCGTGCAGAGTTGTGCTTCAACTGACACGTAACACAGCGTTGTTTATGTTATATTATGCTAGGACGCGAGCAAAACGCCCACACAATCGGTTTTTATGGCAACAACTGTGTAGACGTATAAATAATTCAAACAGCAGGTGCGCATTTTTCATTTCGGTTGATTAAATTACGAGAAAGATGGCGCCATAATTCCGTTATCAAACCTATTAAATACAGTGTTCGTAAGTTTATATCTTCTCCAGCTATCTCAATGCAATCCATTTCATCAGATTTTAAAATGATAACTCTAATCAATACTAACACGGCGAGAAATTGAATTAAGATAGAATTTTGTAGCCTGCTCGCAGCCCGAAATTTCTAAGAATTTTGTTGTATGTTCGCGGTTCTACTCAACGCTGTCACGCGCGTTGCGTGGGCTGATTTACTAATCGCGCGAGGATGAGTTTATCACAGGAATCTCTGATTACATGAGTAATATCATCGAACCTTAACCAGTGTAAAATACTACAGTGGCACAACTAGGGTTTTTTTAAGATTCTTCCTTTTAGACATATGTACAAGGCATATATAGAGTCGTGTTTAGTAGGACCCTATCTGCGTCCTGAATTAATTAAAGCTTCAACTACTGACGCTAAGATGGCGTTGTTTATATTATTAGATGACTTTGCTCTTATTATTGCAACGCGTTGTTTATATTATTCGACAGTTGCCGAATTTCGGTATTTAATTTGGAGTTAGAGCTCTTCTTTGTGTAAAATAGCATTTTCTTGGAAGTAATTTTCATATTTTTTAATTTAACGTTCGTGTTTACAAAGTGTAACCAATTGCAAGCCAGTATATTAATGTGAGGTATAATGACACGCGGTCTGCAAAAGACGCTTGAAATACTTTAATTAAGGACGCAATATTTGTCTGTTGCTATAAAGCCATTATTTTGTGAAATGTTTGAAGCAAATTGTAATAAACTTTATCTACATCGATCAAAATAGCATTTGCTCAGTTTATATACATTATTAAGATTGCTCTTTCTTAGTATGTAATATCATTTTCTCGGAATTTATTTCCATGTTTTGAAGCAAGAGATTCTTGTTCAGATTATATAGCCAATAACAAAATGCTTCAATTGCTCCTCGTTTTGTATAGCTAAGTTGTTGTTCAATTATAAGAGAGAATTTCGAGAGTATTTATAGAGGATTTGAGAAAGCAGGCAGATGCAGCTTTTTCAACAAGGTTAACCTTTTACTAATGATCAAAAGGGCCCAGCTCATCTGAAAATATTGCTTCACTACTGGGGCAAGCAAAGGGCCTACTGGGGTAAATGCCCCAGTAGTTATATAGTTGGAAAATGCCCTGTAATCAAATTTTCATGAGAGTTAATGAGAGTTGACATTATTCCACACTTCCTTCGAGCTGTGTATGGCACTGATCGTAACGTAAATAAATTCAATTCAAAATGATGTGCAATTTATTGCATGAATATTTAGTCCAAGAAATCTTTCTTTTCAGGCTACCCCCAGAATGTTCATGGTGCTGTCTAATCAAAAGTTGTGGGTGTTTGCGGGCTACGTTGATAATACGAGGTGAGTTTCAGTTAACGTTTTAGCCAATCAAATATCTCTATTACGATCACGTGTTACCTTAAACGGGGACGGGATTGTGCGGGTTTCAATTCATAATGTCCCGAAGTTTTGTACTTGAAATGTAATGATATAATATGACATGATTCTCAGCAATATCTTATCTTTAATTTGCTATCTGAACTACAAAACATGCAACATCTTAAATGTATTTTATAAAATGCACTATACTTGATTATATAAACATTTTGTGAACAATTGTAAGCCGCCAGCATTAATATGAGATTATGACACGTCACCCATCGCCGTTCCTATTAAAAGACACAAGTTGTGAAAGACTTGAAGCAAATTGTAAAGCAGACTTTATCCACGTCGTTCAAAATAGCATTCTCAGTCTATATAGTATAGGTTATTCAGACTGATATTTATTGGTACAAAATATCATTTTCTTGGAACTAATTTCCATATTTTTGAAACAAGAAATTCTTGTCAGCACAAGGTACCCAATTGTAAGCCAGTATTAATATGAGGTGATGACCACCCATCGCGCCATGAGCCATGTATTTATTAATCAAATTAGAGTTTAATTATTCATGTGCAAATACAAAATATTGATAGTGCAGACATCTGGATGGATATGTTCCTAAATTAAGTCTATGATTGAATTCTGCCATGAATATTGTGATGCATTGGTTAAATTCATCTGTGTATAATCTTGACAAATCAGGAGATCTTCTAAAACGTCTGTGATCTTGACGAATAATTTGCATGTATGTGTATTTATACGATTGCGGTATTCTACATTGTTCGCCTTGTGTGTTCACCAAGAGTGCCGATCCTCATCTAGTATAATCTGCAATATATCTGAATATATCTTATTACTGTTTATTATACATATCCAAAAATAAATAAACCCACTAGTGGCGGGTTTCAAAATTAGGGTGTTGAAGCAGGCTGTGGCTAGGTGTGCGGGTTTCAATTTAAAATACTGCGACCTTTTGTATTTGAAATGTAATGATATAAAGCTGTGTTTATTTGACATGATTTTCAGTGTGAGCTACAATACATGGAACATTTTGAGTATATTTTATACAATGATCTGTTCTTGATTACAAAATAATTTTCCCATTTCAACATAAATCATAATATAGCTAATTGCAACATGAGCTTATGACACGTCACCAATCACGTTACATTAAATATTCCATCTTATTTAAAAGCAAATGTCAGACAGCGAAAGACGCTTCGAATACTTTAATCGAAGCATTTATTGTCTGTTGCTCTAAAGACATGATCTTGTTAAAGATTCGGAGCAAATTGCAATGCAGACTTTGACCACATTGATCATAACAATATGCTCAGGGCTATCTTTAAAACAAGGAACGGGGAATCGGGGAATGGGAACGGGGAACGGGGAATGGGAACGGGGAATGGGAACGGAAGTGGGAACGGAAGTGGGAACGCGAACGGCAATCATAAAAAACATTTTAAAAAACGAATAAGTTCTTTGCATGTTTGCATGGTGAAAAAAATATAATTTATACTCTGTAGGCCTCGATCACGGATCGAAAGCTTTGTGTATCTACAAAGTACAAATTACAAAAAACGAAAAAGCAGCTGAACTATACACATTCAACAAATTTATATCGTGCACACATTCTACTATGTTTAATTTATTATGATCTATGATAATTCATTGCTATTTTCGTAAATAGAATAAAGTTGAATTACAAGCACTGTTTATCGTTAGCCGCGAATGGCTCCCATCTTATATTCGGCTTTGTTTCAGCGGTATATCCCACAGAAAC